CCCTCCGCTGAGTGTCTCAGTAGACCCCCACGACAGCCGTCTGTCTATGGTTGAGGTTTCAAATATTCGACCACCCAAGTAAAATTGTTACTTTTTACATGAACAATTCTTTCAAAGATGACCAAATTCGTGGTATCTTCTCCTCGGCGATGGTCTAGAAGAGTGATGTGAGCAAAGTCATTCCATCATCTAATAAACTTCCACAGGAGTGTCATCCGCCCCTTACGCTTTTCACGCTTGACATTCTCTCCACTGCTTACACAACTTCTGCCTCCACGATTCGAGGCACTGGCCCAAACCTTGACACTCCTTGAGAGACACTGGTGGGTGCGAAAACTCCTCGTTGCACAAGCCTTTGTAGCAGTCGCTTCATTTTGAGTACTGCCTTCGGCTTCGTCAGAAGATTTCCCTGCGCATTTCAGATGTGCGTAACATGGTCGATGTCCTTTTTCGCATTATGTCGAGCAGCAGTCAGTTGGTATATATGTAGTAAGTGTTGGCGCCTTCACTTGCCGTAACAGTACACAGTAAAATATAATAATTTATTAGAAAAACACAAGAATAAGAGGAAGGAAGTTTATTCTCGTAACATGATGGATCGGTAATAACACGGGGTAGGTATTAACAGCAGCAGGGTCGACATTCTGTGTGCTGGGCGTACCGTTCCGGATGGCGGCGTCTCTTTCTCGTTGCTTCCTCTTCTCGCCCCCTCAAGTTGCCCACGCCATATCAGCTCGATCTCAGCTTCTCCGACCGCGGCCTTCTTTAAACGACCGTATTACAGCCGTTCTCCCTTACACCTCCCATTTCAACCCAGAAGTCCCGAAGGGACTTTCAAGAAGGGGAGGAGATGTTCATTGAACTCATTTTTTCTTAGACCCCTAACCGCCATCCTAAAATGGCAGAAGGAATAACAGCGTGGTGTTCGTTGGACCACTGTAGGACCTTTCCCCAGAAGGGTAATTGCACCAATGAGTCGTAGTGACCGAGGAGAAATTGGCCCTGACGGCATCGCGTCAATACGACGTTCATACGTTTTTTGTCGTCGAGGAATTCGGCGCCCTCGGGATCGAAGTTGGTCTTAGTGGTTAGTATCACAATTGCCTCCTTTTTGCATCCTTGAACCGCATCCACTGTTGACAACTCCTGAACGTGCGGCAGATTCCGCGAGGCGTCGCTGTGCTCTTTGTAAAAAGAGATGATCACAATGTCGTTTGGTGCAATCCCTTTGCTAATTAAGGTTTTAACGAGGAACTGACATACTCGCTGTTCCTCGTTATAGTGAGAGTGTACTACCTTGACCGACTCTCCGTTTGTTTGTACTGTTCCGTACGATTTCTTGATTCAATACACCTTTGCAAGTAAGATTATTTATTAACAACACAAAGCACATTGAAGCACTACAAGTTAAACACATCAGAAATACATCCAACAACGGACTCCTAGGAAATTGCCTCACCTTACCTTGAACATCACCGGGCTCCTCGCCTGACAGGGACAAGGCCAGGTTTCCCATCTTACTTACTGCCCCGACCTCCCTCGGCTCCCCCTTTGAGTGCTCTTGCCTTTCCCAAAAAGTAAAGATAAAGAAAGATCTCAAAGCATAAAGATAAACAAAGACGTCCACCATGAGAATGCATTGCCTAAATTGCCCGGTGAATCGTGAATCAAGGGATTCATGACACTCCCTACGCACAAAAGAAATGAACTTTTTTTGATAATAAGCAATTGAATTTACATTTACATCTACAATACATATACACATACGATGCTATGTTCGTACTACTCTACGTCTAACATCTACAATACACAATACATACTTCATGTGATAACGGGATTTTTCCTCGCTGACGATGATGACGTCCAAGTCGCGAGTGACTGCTGCGTTCTTCTTCTCTTTTTTTGTGTCATATTGTTATACTATTATTGTACTGGATGTCGTGTTGGATGCTAAGTCTATTCAATGTAGTGGACCTTCGCTTAGTTATTTTATTGGTTTTCCTTTATTGATGCACGGTGACAATTGATAATTGATAGGATAACTGATAACTGATAAGTGATGAGTGCGTAATAAGTGATACAATCGATACAAATCTTGAACATTGAATACAAATACTGAATTGATACATGGTGATTTGTTGAAACATTTGAAATTGTCTTACCTTAGAGTAAGAGAATTGGTCATTCAGAAACAATTGAAATAGATTCTTGTATTCCTCTATTGCCTTAAAATTGGAACTTTGCGGGACAAAATGAGCGTGGCGAGTTGTTACCTCACCCCTACCTAACTTCTTGCAGTAAAAACATGGGTTTTTTGTTGCCTCAGTTACCGATGATTTGCCTTACCTGAGCATCTTTCGCATTTGTTTTTCTCGTGTTCTATTGTGTTCTATTGTGTTTTTTAATGTTTTGGAAAGAGGCAATAGAGTTTCTTCCATGGCTGTATAATTGCTCGACACCACTGATAACCAAAGCGTTTATGTACCGGCGATATATAGTCAGTACAAAAACAATAATCGGAATATCAGAATATCGGCTAGCTGAACCGAGACGTTGACGAGGGTTGCTCGAGTCGACCGCCTTCCGGGGCGTTGAGCACCAAGAGTGAGTGTCAGCCGCAAGCTCTTGCACTTGTTTTCGCAGATCCGAAGCGCGATATGTTCGTTCCGATGGCTTACTTCCGAATGCTTACATTCTCGCGCTCTGCGATACATTCTTGGTGATCGCTCTGCGATATGCTGTTTTTTTCTCCATATTTTAGTACCTTTTATGTTTAAGTGAATCTTATTGAGTTGTAGAACATTAATAATTCCGCGAAGCGTAAAACCTTTGTCAAAAGGTTCTGTATTCAGTGCAGTGGGGTGATCAGTGCTTTCCCTTGCAGAGTGCGACATCGGTTCATTTGGAACTGCATGCATTTTCAGAGGATTTCTTACTTTTTCCGATATTTGAAATTTCCTCTCCCATGATATGGCTAGCTTGCACGTGTCATCCTAAGATTAAAGAATTTGGATCATGTGATGGTGGGGAGGAAACAGCTAGCATTAGTTGTTCTCCCTGACTTTCTCGTGCCATGTCTGTGACTACTCAGTTTAGTTACCCGGCATTTCCTAATATCTATTTGGGAAATCAAGTCAACAAGCGAAAAGGATTTTCCAAAGTTAGAAATGGGAAACCGCAGTTCAAACAAATTAGAAAATTTGAATGGAATGCAACATCGGCTGTTTGCCGCGATTGTACGAAGCTTGTGATCGCCAACGGTGATCTGACTTCTTTGTTTGTTTCCGTTCGAACTCGCGGAGCACTTGCTTAGATAGATCGCGTTGATAGCTATCTACCAAAAATGGTAGCGCGGCCAACATGTTTGCTGTATAGAGCATGTAGTTCTGTGAATGTCGAAAATCAGTGAACTCAAATTGAGGGGTTTATTATCTTTTGTAGCGTATTACTTCTACAATTGTTTTAATAGAGCAAATGGATTTGAATTAATTGATATCATATAAATTGAGGATTTCCGAGATGTTTTGATTCATGACACCGTTGATGTCTAAGAACACAAATGGTAGACGCGGGTTAGGGAAATCCATGACATTAAGAATTCGTTGTCTGTCTTCTGCGGTTACACCGCTAATGAGGCTTCCTTCGTAGCACAACATGTTAGGCAAGGAGACGAGGTCTGGATGTGCCCGGAAGGTCGTAATAAGATTACGTACTGGCACCGCCCGTGCCTTCCGTAAGACATCCATGATGCTCTAGGCGCCCAGGCGTGCTGGATTGTGGAGGCGCGAGCACCTGGCGTAGGGCTGAAGTTGATGGATGTCTCCTATGTAGATATGCCTTGCCGTTGGGACTCGTGCCAACATGGCCATGAACCCGGGTTCGGGTACTTGCGAAGTTTCGTCGCATATCAGGAGGTTAAAGCGATCCACATAATCTTTGAAAAGGCCCCTTTTATCCGTGGTTTTCAACAGGGATGCCGTGATGATGCAGATGATCGTCGGGTTCATGTGTTCGAATAGTATGTCCCCATCTCTTGCAGATTGTAGGTGACATATTTCTAGGCCATAATGATGTCCTCTCGCTCCTGATCGCTAAGGTCCATGCGTCGCTTGCGCTTGCATTTCTCACGACGCGACGTGGCAAGGTACTGAGTAGATCATAACCAACAATTATGTTGTAAGCTCCAGCTCCAGCTCTATCTCAAGAATTTTCCCAGCTACCTTACTACGGACGGCATTAGTTCCTTGACATAAACATCGGGTCGTATTGCGTAATGTAGATATTTGCGGAGCCTAGCGATCGCAAATTACGTAACTTTGAACATTAACTGAAAAATATCGAAAAATGCATAACTACAATGCCCGAACAAATATACTTCATCCAGTTTACGCGGCTCTCATATCGGTCGCTTCCATATTTCTCGCCGTCAATTCCACAATTATATACTTGCTCTATGTTCTACTCTGATTTAACAGCTGCAAATACGCGTCCCTTATTGAAATTCTGATCAATCGACTTCGCCGATACAACGCCTTTCTCGGCACATGCGCATGAAACAAAGAAATTACCCACGCGTCATGACTCAATACCAAACACATCCCAAAACTTGGCCAACTCGCGATAAAAATGAGAAAAAGTCGGACATGATAAAAAAA